CTTGACCTCTGCTTGCTCCTTGCCTGTTTAGAGTGACTCATCTTACCTTGCCTCATGTACCTGGACTACAGATCTTGTTTTTTTTTTTTTTGTTTTGCCTGCCTGTGTTGTGTGTTGGTCAAAAAGAATCATGCCAAGCTACTTGCCCCTCCACAGAAGGATCTGTGCCCGGTAACGTCATTGACTCCGGTTTCCTGTGTATACAGTTACCTTCACAAAAGGTCAGTGTTGAAACAAAACCTGAGTAAATGGGTAAACTGTTTAATACTACTTTACAGTTGAAGCACAACAGATCTAGGTTTGCTGTGATCTATTTCTTGGTGCAATACTTTGCTCTGGAAACCAACTGATGATTGTTTACTTTCTGTTTCTTAATCCAAGGTTTCTGCTTTAGAGAGTTTATCGTCCTGCATGATAAATTTGCTAAACATCTTTTACCTTTTCTAGGTCATGATCTGAGATATGAGTCTTGCTCATACTTACTTCATCAGAGAAAGAAAACTCTTGCTTCAGGAAACTTGTCCTGGCCCTTTTTGAAAAGACAATATCCAGCTTTTTTTTAAAAGCACTAGACAGGACCAAAGTCCCACACATTTTAAGTTTTCCAAAATGCAGTAACAATCTTAAATTAATCAGGAAATGCATGCAAACATCTCACTTTCCTGTTATTCTATCAATTGATATGATTTATTTTACAGCTGTTCCCAGCTACATCCAGTCCTGACTTGAATACAAATAAATCACTTCATGAGTCTGATAACATGAAGTAGGTCAAACCAATGGGTCATTCAGCAGGACAACGACCTGACTCAGTTAGCAAAACCCTCTTTTGGATGGCTAGATTAGATTGGCCTACTCAAAGTTTGGACTGGCCGTCTTGTTCACCCGAGATGATGTGGCATGACCCAAAAGTCTGTTAATCCTAAACCTTCAATATGATTTAGTTAAAACAATTCTGCAAAAAAGAGTTGAGTGAGGGGTCAAAAATTTCTAAACAGTGATGCTAAAATATCATTGTTAATGACAAAACAATTTCTGGAAACTGCTACCATCGTGGACAACAATAACAGCCAACAGACTGATTTTGACGATAATTTCTCTGTGACATGAAAAGAAAAACCAGAAGATGGGGAAAGAAAAAATTCAGTGCTGTGGGGGTTTTCATGAACAATTTAACATCGCTCTGAAAATTAGTGGGAAAAGAGTCCTAATGATCAAAGAAAACCATGAAACACCTTTAGAAAGTCTTGAAAATGTTTAATCAAGACCTCCAAAAGAAATCCCCCAAAAGACCAGATACTTGGCAGAAAATAAATAACTCAACACTTGCACATTTATGTAGCTAAAATAAAATAAATATGATAAATGGCAATATAGTAATATATACCGTATAGACAATACCGCTAACAATGACCTCTGTGAAGGTTACTGAAGTGAATATTCAAGTAAAAATACAGAAGCCGACATTAAACAAGAAGTCCAGGTTCTGAATCCTCATCACCAGCTCTCCACCAAACCCACGTCAAGCGTGGTTCCTCCCTCTTAATCCCCTTCTCCCTTGATAAGGCACTGTGCACTTCTCTTACAAACACACGCGCACATCCAGCTCGCTTCCCATCTATCCGCAGAATCCGCTCCCTTGCAATCACCTGCGCATCAGCTGCCAAATGAAGTTCCTCTTTAGAAAAAAAAACCAAAACAAAACAAAAAATACTCGGCTCTGTCGAATCGTCTGCGTGCCAGGCAGCTCCGGCAGCTCTCGTGTTGAAGCCAATAATCCAGCATCAGAGCTTCAGGTGCACAGAGGGCCGTGATTGACAGGACTCGATATGAGGCCCTCGCCTCACTTGACATTTGGGTTTCATAAGGTCTGGAACAAAAGGCAGGGGCAAAATAATCAGAGTGGGGCGCAGGCAAATAAATCTGTTTATTCCTCCTCACCTGCCCCCTCCCTCACCTCTGCACCTCCTCTGCTCGTCCACATCAAGCCTCAGCCCTTGAAGGGGAATGAGGGAGGGCGCAATATTACCTTTTCGCAGCCTTAGTGGATTCACGCACCGCGACAGCAGGTCACTTTAGGCCCTGTGCTTACCTGAGATATTAGTTTGTATGAGTGGTAGATAGAGATGTGTATTTGAATGGCTGCAGCGATGTGTGTACAACGCTGTGTATGTATGAGGGAAAGGCAGAGACAACAGAGAGGACAGAGAGATAGAGGCAAGATTGATGTGGAGTCATATTGTGGATTATCATTTGTATGCTTGTGTGGATGCAAGGAAAAAAATAGAGACATATAGCATGCAGTATTTTCAGGGGTCTTGTTTCATAAGAAATTAATACAGAGAAAGAAATTAAAGTTCGATGCAAAAAAAGATTTAGATTTGAAGTTTGCACTTATTTAGTTCTTCTAAATGACTGACTGCAGCATTTATCAAAGTTGCTGACCCAGCAGTCCTGTCCTTCATCTCTACACACTGAGCATAAAGTAAAAGCCACAAATGCAAGCGGACTTACTAGATACACTCACTTCCTGTGAGTGAATGAGGAAGCTGTAAGTGTCCTGGTTGTAATATTTCACCTCACTCAGCAACCCTAATTGGATTGTAGCACTCGGAAGGCAAAACACAGCAAAATGTGCAGTAAAGTGTTTTTATTCCTTCTCCAACTCGTATTTCATTATGTTTTAAGCTTGCACAGACTTTTGACAAAAACCCATTTAATGCAGCACAGTAACACTTGGATGGTTTGACAAAGCCCCGATTAAAGCATCATTTAGCTAATTGTTACAAAATTGCAGCATGAATTTAATAATTCTTTTAAGTTTAATAAAACACAGAGGCAATTTGAGTACAGTGATGGCGTAGTGGTAGTCCGTGACTTGTGTGCGAAGATCTGAGTTCTCTGTGGCCATCACAAGTTTTAGTCTGTTGACATTTGTCACATGTCTTCCCTCTCTCTCATAACCCACTTTACTGTCAACTCAAATAAAGGCTATTCTGGCCAAAAAATCCTTATACATTCTCATGAAACTCATTTTCTTTAAATCTCACTACAGTAAAAATCATTTTATTTTACCACTCTTGCAATGTTTGGCCACTCTTCTGCATCAGGAAAACACATTATCATGGCTGAATCCCTTCACTAGAAAGTGGTTTTATGTGTCTAACCAGTAGCATCCAAATGTTGACTCAAATGTATTTATAGAATATATTTTTAAAAGACCATTTCAATTCACAAGTACAAATGTACAAATCTTGATGTACAAAAACTAAGGACTTTGAAACAAATATTCTTTCAATAAATATCGAACATGTCAGTTTATTTCAGTTTTATTTCTAAGTGCATAAAATTCACACCAGATATAAGTAAAAACCTGAATAATGAATGCATACAAATTCAAAAGAAATTAGTTTGTGAATTTATGAAACCTGCTAAAAGCTGTATTGAGTAAGCATTTCACCGGTGAAGTCCAACTCAATCTCAATGATCTCCATGCACACTCACTGCACAAAACTCCACTACTGAAGTAAAAGCATGTTGAAGCTTGTTTACAGTTTACTGCAAATGATTTGTGTAGTGAAATGTTGGAGGACTATTATATGGCTAGATGGGGGTAAAGTCGAGCTGTTTGGATGTCATTGCACAAACGGTGACAAAACACATGCGGGAATAGCTATGCTTCTTCCAATTTTAAAGATATCTTAAAATTTATTGGCTTTGACTCATCAGTAGCTTGACTGGAAGAAGAGAGAGAGTGAAACAGAACATAAAGAGTTAATGGTTGGGAATCCAACTAGAGACTTCAAGGCTTCATATCTACCTGATGTCTAAACACTGAGGCACATCACTCTTTGAAAGCTAGGAGGGGGTAACCGAGAAGTCTGAGTATTGTGATTTAAAATGTTGTTCTGCTTGACTGGCTTAAAAAAAAAAGCCACACTTTTCTTTGATTGTCAATTCCTTGATTTTAAGACTTAAATTCTCCCACATTATGTATTGACCAGTTTGGGTTTATAAAGCATAAAATCTCAACAAAACACATTGACATTTGTAGCTGTAATGTGACTATTTTTTTAAAGAATTGAATTATTGTTGCACAATGTCACATGAGTTTAAAATGTTATTACAAGCTATATGCTGCTTCATTGATCATATCTTCTTCTAGAGCATGGCAGAGAGAGATTATGATCTTTAAAAGCAAACTATAACATTTTATGTTAATATCTTTCAACCACTTGGATTTCATTTCTGTATTGTAAATAATTTCCGTGGAACCTTAAGCCATCTTTCAGCAACAATAATTCTTCGAATGTCAGTAAATACAGCCTCTTTTCCACCTGCGCTCTACGTGATTTATACCAATCAAGCAGACTGAGATGAGGAAGCTGAATGAGAATTTAATTGCCAGGTTACAGGTGCAATCTGTGGACAGAATAGCAAGCAATTAAACGTGCGATTCAGTAAAACAACAGGGGGATGTGGGGGGGATCACCATCAGGCATCTCCAGGCCATATGGTCACTTGTGGTTTAAATTGTCTATAAAAAAACATAAGCCAACAGATAGTTTTCAGATCAATCCCTGTCACAGCCTTTTCTCCAGAATGAGCCCCCCACGTGGGGGTCCGCATAACGCGCATCTTGTCGGGATGTGATTGGACAGCGTGCGGGTGACAGACAGCAGGATGCGGCGCAGTGCTCACTTTTTTTCTCGTCATTGGCTGCGTTTAATCACCGCTCCTCCTTCAGACCACACATCATTGGCTTTATAGGAGGTGGGGGGGGCTTTGCGTAGGAGCAGGGAAGTTGTAGTTCTTCACGGCACATGCACATCTGTAGGGCTTATTATCGACTAATATGAATTAAACTACACGTCCCGACGTCACGGTGTGCGGGCTCTAGTAAATGTTGTGAATATGTAATTGAGCCCGCACGACTGGCTGCTGCTAAATTTGGCGTCACAGACAAGGGCAGGCTGGTACAGTTGGTTGGTGAGGTGGTCTCTCGCTCGGATGTGAAGCGTAAAAGGAGGTTGGAGGAGATCTACTGATCAATACGCGACAACGGGGAGTAACCTGAGCTGCTAAGCTGTGGATGAGCTGTGCCACGATGCGCCAAAAGTTGAGTCTCCGAGGGGAAAATAAGAGGAAAATAGAAGACTTCTGTTAGTTTCAAGGGAATTCTTTGAGTTTTATGGACAGGAAAGGAGGAGAAAAATTATCTGCCTTATTTTTGTTGTCAAAGGATGCTTCTACTTTTTACAGGACCTGCTCTCAGCTCCCTTAAATCGGCCACTGACTGAACCTTTTACGCACCGGAGAAAAAGCGCCTCACGCATTTCTTTCTTTTGCTGTATTTTTTTCTTGTTCTTGTGGATGAACTTTACGACGCCTTTTAAATGATTCGAGATCTGAGCAAGATGTACCCCCCGGCACGGCATCCGGTAAGTCGAGAACAGAAGCAGAAAGTGTCAAAACAGCGCAGATTAACTGCAGCGCGCCTGATGCGTAATCAGTTTAGATACAGTTTCCGTGCCACTGCGCGGCCACTTTAACAATTGAGCTCATTGTCTAGATTTCTGGAGCTGTTTGTGTCTGTGTGAGTGTGTATCCGCGGGTTAAAGTGTGAGGAGACTGAGTGCGATCACAGTGGTCCATTGTCAAAAAGGGGGAAAAAAAATCTCCAGTCCTGCACGTTGTGTCTTGACACTGAACTTTGGTGGCTCAGTTCTTGCTCTCTCCCCCCTCCTCTTCCTCACACGCTCTTTGATTTCGGGTTGAGGTGCCACACCAGCCGGGGCAGCCGTTCAAGTTCACCGTCACCGAGTCCTGTGACCGGATCAAAGAGGAATTTCAGTTCCTGCAAGCCCAATATCACAGGTGAGAGTCAAGAAATGAGGCAGGAAACGGTCTCGAATCTCTGCTCTTTTTGGAACTGAACTGAGTAAATAGACAAAAAGAAAGACAATTATCAATTAAAATGTAAAGAAAATTATATCTCCTTTTATCAAAAATAAATCAGTTTATTTTGTCACTTTTCTGTGTAAAATTTGGATCATCCGACCTTTTCACCAGTATGACTGGTCTATGGAATCCCATTCAGACACCCAAAACTGTGATCTACTGTGCATTCTGACACCCTGTGACACCAATTTGAGCAACAGTAGTTCATCTGTCATTCTGGACCACACGGACTCCTTATACTATGTTGGCAGTTTCCTTTCCTTCCTTGGAGCAATTTCCATAGATGGCGACCACTGCTAAGCGTGAACATCCCATAGAAGCCACAGTTATGGAGAATGACCAACCAGTCATCTTCTAAAGAAGAATTCTGTAATGCATCACATATATTTTTTAATTCATCTCCACTGAAAAAACGAGTTTCAAAGAACTAATCTCATCTATTGAAAACCACACATAATATCACATTATAATGAATCTAATTATCGATTTTGATTTGCCGTTTTGGTGCATCACACCAAAATTACCAGTTGCCCTCTTCTGGCCACCCCTTGAAAAACTTTCTGGAGCCACTGACCAAACTGTCACAATCTCATCACTTTCAAACTTCCAGTCTTTTCCTAATTCTAGTGCAAATCACAGTTATATTTTCAATGTTAGTCTGTGGAATATTGCCAATCACAATAGAATGTTTAAATGCCATATTATCCTGTACATATTATTGTAAATCTCAAACATTCATGCTCTACTTGTCAGTGCTATATTTGGGTAGTTGGATGTTATCTCCATGTACTTCACGCCTACACCTGACGTAGATTGTGAGCCGAGGTACTAAAGCTCACAATAGTATTGACAGTAAACGAGAATGAAGAAACTGTATGGTTAATAATAAAAACAATCAATATAACTAAATTTCAGGTTTTCTTTATGTTTAAAATTCAAACTTTGAAGACAAAAACAATCAGCTCTTTCCTAATGTAACACAAGATGAGAAAAGGATCTATGCTATTAACTTCACTGGTCATAATATTATGCCTGACTTGTTCATGTTAAGTTTCGGGGTCAGAAAAGTTTGATAATGCTTTACGCCATTGAGTCATGCATGACTCATGCAATATGACCAAAGTGTCTGAGAAATACATGATGCAATGACATGAAATACTAGACAGAAAATAGGTTTTGGTTCAGGTTAAGATAGATAATTAAAACAACCTGAGGATGGCTGCTTTTAGCATCTTAAAATGAGATGTGCTCTCCTCCAGCAGTCTGCAGAGCTCATTCGTACGCTGGTGCTGTACTGAATCCCCCGTTTGTCTTAGCTCTGTCCATTACCAGTGTCTAACCACAGGTAAACCCCATTGACTTTCGTCTGCGCGTCTCTCCCTGCAAGTGCAAGTGGTGTGAAATACTGCTTTACTCGACATGATGAAGTGTGAAATACGTCGCCGCAGGGCAGGACCATAAAGCACGACACCAATGCATAATAATCGCCCACTTCTGGCCACCTTGTAATTGTTACCCAGTCTCTTGGGGAGATGAACCAGGGGTCCAGTTTTCTGGTCAATCCTGGGGCTTGAACAGGCTGAACCGAGGATAATAAGCTGCATGCTTAATGCTGCAGCCGCCCACATCAAACGGTTTCAACATAGGGGGTTGGTTTTGAAGAAAACAGAGAGTAAGGGTGGATCAGATTGAAAATCAGAAAACTAAAAATCTTTGTCCTGATTCGTGTTTTATTTCTGTTTTGGATCAATGTTCCCAAGTTTGGGTTAGCTTGGAATTGTATCAAGTTTTGATAAGGAAAATGCATAGAAACCTGTTTTGACTGGTTTTATAGTAAAGTTCAGCTGCTTAAAGTTTCTTACAAAGAAAGTGATGTTTACCTGCTTTTGTATTTTAACATCATCACACACCTGATGATCATCTCATTAGCTGCCACTTAAAAGCTTTTAGTGGCTGAAACATTAAAACATTTCCCATAAGGCGAAACATTTAAAAGAGTTAACCTTTTTTGTAAAATGGATTCTCATTATGAGGTTACTTTTTTGTTGATGAAGCAGTTTTGGCTTCCTCTCACACTGTAAGAATATGTGATGAGGTCTGTGTGTGTGTGTCCATTGATTCAGTAATTACTCCTCTGCACCTGCTGAGTAAGGGCCTACGTCTGCAGCAGGAAGCTGTGGAGAGCCACACGACTTGTTTTGTTGCGTTTTTGTTTTTCGTCTTAAGATTGATTGTAGATTCAGATTTGCACATTTTTCTTTGCGGACACCAGCTCATGTGAATTCAGAGTTACAAAACACTCATTTAAGTCCCTCTGTTTTGGTTAATGGAGATATTAATTCTGACACTAATGTAATCTTTTTTCTTAATCTTTTCTACTAGTCTGAAACTGGAATGTGAGAAACTGGCCAGCGAGAAAACTGAGATGCAGCGACACTATGTAATGGTGAGCCTGACTGCAGCTTGTGTTCTGACTAGAGCAAGAAAGAGAGTGACCTTGCTTTCATCTTGTTTTTTTTTTTGTTTTTTTTTTTTTTCAGTATTATGAAATGTCATACGGGCTTAACATCGAGATGCACAAGCAGGTAAGATGTCTTGTTTTTCAAATGCAAGAATACAGCAGAAACAGCCTTTTAGTTGGTGTCAGAGAAGCATCCATGACAATGAGATCCATGCTCACAGAAAGATATTTAGATTTTCAGACATTTCTAACATTTTATATGTCCAAATGACTTGGGCCAAACAGATTTGCCTTAGAAGCTCTGACTTGTGCGTTAAGATGTCAGATGTTTACTTTTCTACTAGTCAAGTCTGCAGATTTATGTTGGAAGTAATGAGTGAAAGCTTGCACCTGTACATGTTGCCTGCACAGATTATGCAAATGTCAAACAGGTACAGACTCTTGGATTTAAAGACTAGAAAAGCATTGGGAAAACAACTGAATTATTCTCATCATCCTTGCAGTTTTTACTTTCTAAATCTGATCATTGTGGAAACGTGATAAATTCAAACAGAACTTTTTAATTTATGAATTAAAAATGGACCACAAATTGGCCAACAAACCAGTATAGATTCATGAAATGTAAGATGTTTGGGAACTCTGAAACAACTCCAGTTGGGAAAATTGAAAGTAAAGAAATGCATCCAGTTGGGAAAGAAAAAAAAGACTTGCACCAACTTCATCTTGAAGCCAGTGCGTTTTGCATGCCTTTGGATGTGGTCTGGATGAACTTGTTGTTTTCTCGAAAGAACTCTTCATTATGAACCTACAGGATTTTGGAAAAGCATTAGATAATGTAGGAAGTCACTCCAAGTCATGTTAGATGGATCAAGGATTATAATTTTATGAGAATGAACTTGTCCAAATAGGGAGTATATGGAAATGTTTATTTTAGTACCACATTAGAGATAACCTGCAATAAAAATGCAGTAAATATTTTCACATAAACTGGATGTGTGAGACGTTTTCTCCCCTGGAGAGTTATTTGAAGCTTTTTTAGGAAGCTCACATTTCCTACAAATGCAACTGTTACAGTCTAGAACATGTTTGGCAGTAGCTCATTATTTATGATTTCAATTGTTCAATTGGATTTCGGAATACAGACGTGTTTGTGGCAAGTTCTATAATGTGAGTTGGTGAATGAGAGGATTTACACTGAACCACTGTAAGTTCATTGAAAAGAAGAGAACCAAATTGAAATTTTACACAATCTGCTGGCATAACATGTACTGTTAACACCCTCTGCTTCTATAGTTAAGTGAAATAAATTGTTAAGAATGGGAAGATGAGGTTAAGAGCAAAGAAAGATACAAGAACAAAAGGGATTAGACTCTCCATTATTAGAATAATGTTTTAATCTCGCTTGAAATAAATCTGGTGGAATTAAGGTTTTGGCCACTGATGTATTGCATTTTTCTCATTGTTTCTCGAATTTAAACAAATATACAATGTGAGTGTGGTTATTTCTCTGGGGTTAATAAAAAAAACACACACACACACACACACAACAAAACTATATATTATATTTTATTTCTAGAGTGTTTCAGCCAGCATAATTCTGTATTTCATCTTTAAGTGTCAAAACAAACTGTTTGCTCCTTCTAAAAGTAGAGTGAAATTTGCTAGATTTGTAGAACCAAAAGTAACAAATGTATATTCCAAAAAAGTAGAAACGTTCTTTAACAAAGAAGGGGTATTTTATTTAGTCTTGTTTGGTCACTTGGTGAGCCACTGCACATGTGAATAAGAATTTCATCAGTTTAATTGAACAAGATAATGGGCTGAAAAATGACTCCAGCCAATAAGGATTTGGCCTTTAACGAGCCTTTGCATTACTGCTTTTTTTTTTTTTTTTTTTACTTTAACACGCAGGGTCATTAGCATAAATGTCTGTGTTAACCAACATCAGCTGCCACAATAAATGGACCACAGCTAACCAGCCACACATTCATCTCTGCACAAATAATGTCTGTGTGTGTGTGTGTGTGTGTGTGTCGGTTTGAGAAGACGTGATAAATGCTTGGCCTTTGTCTTGCTGCCTATGTGTGTCCTTCTGTAACTATACAGCCTGTTTACTTTGCTTTTTGTGTGAGTGCGTGTGCGTGTGTGTGTGTGTGTGAGTGTTTAACAGCCCTTACTTACCGCACATGTTTACACAGTGTGGATGTTTTCATGAATGTGTTTGTCTGCAGGCACACTTTAGATGTTTATTCAGTTTTGCATTCACTATTTGTGAATCTGTGCACACTGGGTGTGTGTGCGTTTTGCTTTTCGTGTTTACCCCTGCCTCAGCGTGCACACGCACACACCAATACACACATGCAGCTTTTTCACTGGCACACTAATCATAGTTGTCGGATGAAATATGGGGTGTCTACTATAAATCCCGGCCGCCTGCTGCTGTTTGTGCACGCTGCACGTGCTGCGGTGTGTTGTTGTGTTTGCATGGACAAGACAGACAAAATGAGAAGCGGTAAAACGTGGCCTGCAGCTCTGTGTGGTGCCGAATGATTTCTGTCAGGAGAGCGAATCCCTAATTTCTGCCAGCAGTCTGTGTGTGTGTGTGAGCTTTGGAAGCAAATTATTTTGACTCTTGCTCCAGCATGCCTGAGTATTACTGCGTGAGTGTGTGTTAGAAAGCATGCGGATTATTGTGCAGATGAATGGATAGAAGAGACGGAGGTGTTTCTTTGGCGAGCAGGTATTAAGGCAATCAGCCACCACTTCCAAGAGAGTCGCTAATATTGCTTGTTTAGCATTTTCTAAGGGTAATAGGCCCATTGATTTTTTTGGCTCTGCTCCCTGTTTTATTTACACAGAAGGGCTCTAGTGCCCAGGGGAGAGAAATGTACCGAGGCTCGTTAAAGAGAAATTGACTCGTAGATGGAAGAGAGGACAGGACGGGTGGGTGGGGAGGAGAGAAGACGAGGGAGGAGCAGTGCGCAGGACTGAGAGAGGACAGCTAATCAATTGCAAATTAGTGAGGCTGAAAGAGAAATAAAGCAAAGCGCAGGATGTAAGGAGGGAGAAAGGAAGGAGGCACCAGGACAAAGTGGTGAAAGAAGGAAGTAATAAGATGTTTAGATTCTGAAGATTGCCAGAGATTTCAGTTATCTGTGACAGGTTATTTTACTGCAGCAGATAAGGAAACTTTTATTTCATTGTGAGATTTGTTATCACTGTGATTTGAAAAATTGTGAAAAAAATTAAAAACTGAAAGCAAATTGGAGTGTCAGTACATTAATATTAATTTTTAGCTAATAATTTAGATTGCAGTTTTAAAATCTCCTTTCAATACATGTTTAGAATAATTCGGTCTTGTATTGCTTAGACAGACAATAATAAAAAAACAAACTTTTTTTCAGTCAATTAAACTGTCAGTAGTTGGTTGTTGATAAAATGGTGCTGAGGGCATTCCCCTTTTGTTTCCTTCTTCTTCCAACTGTAAATCTCCTGGAAAAAAAATAAACCAACGTAAGAAAATAAAAATTGTTTTTCTCAACATTTAAATAACAAATTTAGAATAGGTTGATTTTGAGATATACAGTGTGCTTTATGAAATATTTTTTCACTTTTTTGTCTAAATAATTGTGACCTCTTTTGCTACTCATGACTTTTCTGAACTCTTCCAATGATCTAATTGTTGCCCAGTCTCTTTTTGTTTTGTTGAATCCTGACCTCTGACCTTAGGAAAGTGAAGCCTCCTGTGCTTAAGATGTTGCTTCAGGTTTTTGATTCCATGTGTCTCAGAATATTATGGTCTGGCTGGAGAAATATCAAAAGACAAGTTTTTTAAATAGTTTTTCCCTTTAATAAAGAAAAACAGTTTTTTTGTGTATTTATCAATTTCTGAATTTAACAACCTCAGACATTTCATTATGAAATTAAGCAAAACCACACAGCATCTGGGAATGGGATACATATTTGTTCACAGCACTGTAAATATTCATAATAGTGCTGCATGTTCATATGAAGTGGCTCAGTCAGATTGGATGTGCAGATCAGTTTTCAAGTCTTGTCATAGGTTCTTAATGGTCCATATGGACCTTAGCTGGAGCACGCCAACATACGATTGTGTTTTGATCTAAGACATTTTATCTCTGGCTGTTTAATGTTGCTGTCCTGCTGCAAGGTGAACCACTTTCCCACTTTCAAGTGTTGTGCAGCTTTTACTGGTTTTCTTTCAGAACTGGACTTTAAGTCCATCTGCAGAACACCATACTGACAACATCATACTGCCACCACCACATAGTTTTTTTTTCTTCACACATACTGTCTTGCAAATAGACAGAAAGCAAATAGGTCTCAACTAACTGGAGCGCCATCTTCCATATCTTTACCATACAACCTTTTTGGCTTGTGGCAAATTACAGATGAGACCTCCTGTAGACTTCCATGTGGGTGAAAGTGTTCAAGGGAGATTAATACTTTTGCAATGCAGTGTTCTGCTTTATTTTCTAAAAACTGACATCTGTACAAAAGAAAACATAAACAGAAAGTCAATGCCCTTTAAAGAAGATAGATGGATTGCTTTACTGTTTCACCTCACAAAAAAAAAAATAAAAATCATGCATTTCGGATTCATTTGTTATTAATACAGCATAAAGTATCTCTGTACTTTATGCAGGGATAAAGTGCAGGAAATTAGAGCCATTGCTGCTGATGTGACGTCCATTGGGGTAAAATTTATTCTTTAAAATTGATTTTTTTTTGTTGCCAAAAGGTCATTTTTGCTACACAAATCTTCAGTGAAGAACTTTATTAGTAATGTTAGAATTGAACCTCACTGCCTTTTACTACATTTGTTTACTTTGTTTTAAGTGACAAAATCAGAAAACATTTGTCACAATAACATTAAAATTACATTAAGGAGTTAAATTACAACAAGAACTGCTTAGAGACAGTCTAATTAGTCTCTTTTATATTTCCTCTTTGTCCCATTCCACTGTGCTCACTGCTTCTTTCACACACTCTCTCACACACACAGGGTCACAAGGGAATGAAGACTTTATATGGTGAGGTCCATTAGGTGTATTAGCTGGTGGTGAAAAGTGGTGCTGATGTGGTGCTTACAAAGCTCCACAG